GGGGGGCCCTGGTCGGGAGGTCTGTCGGTAAGGACTTCGACGACTTGGGGGTAGTGGTCCGAAGCCCTCCTCTCCTTTACTCCGTAATAGGAGCAAGTAAGCCCAGAGGAGGCCCACACTAAGTCGATTGTCGACGGCCGGCCCCGCTGGGTCCCCTGGGGCTCCCTAGTTATAGTACCCTGAGGGGTAACTAAATAGAGGTCCCAGGAGGTAGCTAGTTGGACCAGCCCTTCGGCCTCCCGTTCATACCGCTCGTACAGGTCCTACAGGGGGTGCTGGAGGTTGAAGTCCTCCATAAGGATCACCTGGTTGGTAGGTCTGGGTATTTGTTGTAGTAAGGTTGACAGGAGGGTCTTGTCGGTAGGAGGGTTGTAGATCGACCAAATTTCCAATCCTGGGCCCTCCTGGCCCAAAAACCACACACGACACCAATCTTCGGCCACCTCGTAGTCCCACTGGCTAAGGTCAAATCTCTTTCCAACGAATATAGCTGCCCGGCTACCCGGCCTGTGTACTAGGTGGTAGCGACTACTGCGGGGGCAGTAGGTTGACTTGGTCTGAGTATTCTTCCAGGGTTCCTGTATAGCTAGGAGGTCGTACTTGGCTTCCTCGAGGAGGACCTCGAGGTTCTCCTTAATACCCTGAGTATTCCACTGAAGTATCGATATACCCATTTAAAGTTCGATTTCGGTATCGGTATCGGAGGCTGGGGTAGTTGATTCGGAGGGCTGAGAAGAAGGAGATTGGGCCGAGGATTGGACTGGGGGAGACTGAGCTGAAGGTCGGGTAAGGAACTGTTCGAATAGGTTGGCTTGGGAGAAAAGGGGCTGGGTATTCGGGTTGGGCTGAGAGGAAGTAATCCTTAGTTGCTTGGGGTCTTGGGCTGCTCGTTCCGTATCCGACGGCCGGCCCCGCTTCCGAGTCGGCCCACTAGTGTGCCTAGTAAGGCCAATAGTCGGAAAAATAGGAGCCGGAGGCTTAGCCGATTCGAAGGTTCAGGGCCGGTATTGGTAGGATTCCCGAGCTATATTCCGGACCTTTACCCTCTCTGGGCAGGCCCGGTCGTAGGCCGGGTGCTTCCCTCCGCAGGCCGGGCACCTACAGGGTAGGTGGTTTACCACTGTAGGACACTGCTTTTCACCATCCTTACCACCTGGGCCGTGGGCACTAGTACCACAGCGGGGGCAGAGCGGGGCCTTCCTGCAATACCGACCAATATGTCCCCATTTCCAACACCTATAACACTGGGTCGGCTGAAGCGGGGCCCAGTAGGGCTCACAGTTAAATAACTGGGCCCGGAATAGGACCCCGGAATCACAGGCTTTCTTGGCCTCTTCCTGACTGTCGAAGGCTACCACCACGGAGACCCAGTTAAGTGCCGGGTCCTTGGGAAACCGGAAAACCACCTTCCCAACGGCCCGTAAATCGGCCTCCTTAGCAAAGTCGGCCTCCGTAACACCCTGAAGATCGGCCTTCCTTAGGCCCTTGACTAATACTCCGTAGGTACGACGGGCCTCCTTGGCCTGTTCCCCAAAGGCCTGTTGAATCCATTGGCCATTAGCCGAATACCAGTCCTTAGTTAACGTATCGGCGGAGGTAACCACGACGTCCCCACTGGGGAGCTTCCTAGCCGCTATAGCTCCCTTGCGTCCCGAGGCTTGGTTGACGGCCTGTACGATTTCCTGTGGGGTTCTCCTAGCTAGGTCGGCTGGTAATTGGCCTCCCCGAACTAGGACTTCCCGGCTTTGTTTAGCGGGGATGACTTTGGTAGGCGGGACTGCAGCTGGAATAGCGGGTCCCCTAGCTACATCGGCCCAGGATCGGGAAGTCTGATTGGTTAGGTTGGCTAGTTTGTTGTCCCTCAGGGCCGCTCGTACCTCCTCAGCCACTACCTTGCGAAGGCTAGGTAGGTCGAG